GAGTGAGTGTGAGTGAGTGAGTGTGAGTGAGAGTGAGTGAGTGAGTGAGTGAGTGTGAGTGAGTGTGAGTGAGTGAGTGTGAGTGAGTGTGAGTGACTGAGTGTGAGTGAGTGAGTGTGAGTGAGTGTGAGTGACTGAGTGTGAGTGAGTGAGTGTGAGCGAGTGTGAGTGAGTGAGTGTGAGTTGAGTGAGTGTAAGTGAGTGAGTGAGAGTGAGTGAGTGAGTGAGTGAGTGAGTGAGACGGAGACGAGCGGGAGAAGGAGGAGGAGACGCGGCGCGCGGTGAGTGAGTGAGTGAGTGAGACGGAGACGAGCGGGAGAAGGAGGAGGAGACGCGGCGCGCGGACGACGAGCGGAAAAAGTAAGAACCGCACACAAAGATGCCACGATTTCGCAACGGCATCGCCAAAGTGCTGCGCCTGCCACGATTTCGCACACCCCCCGCCGCGCGCGCGACAACATCCTGTCCCTCTAGACAGCTGCCGAATGCGACCCCTGCCACACAAACACACACCCAGATGCACAGAATGCTGCGCCTGCCACGACTTCGGCAACGGCATCGCCAAAGTGCTGCGCCTGCCACGATTTCGCAACGGCATCGCCAAAGTGCTGCGCCTGCCACGATTTCGCACGCCCCCCGCCGCGCGCGCGACAACATCCTGTCCCTCTAGACAGCTGCCGAATGCGACCCCTGCCACACAAACACACACCCAGATGCACAGAATGCTGCGCCTGCCACGACTTCGGCAACGGCATCGCCAAAGTGCTGCGCCTGCCACGATTTCGCAACGGCATCGCCAAAGTGCTGCGCCTGCCACGATTTCGCACGCCCCCCGCCGCGCGCGCGCGACAACATCCTGTCCCTCTAGACAGCTGCCGAATGCGACCCCTGCCACACAAACACACACCCAGATGCACAGAATGCTGCGCCTGCCACGACTTCGGCAACGGCATCGCCAAAGTGCTGCGCCTGCCACGATTTCGCAACGGCATCGCCAAAGTGCTGCGCCTGCCACGATTTCGCACACCCCCCGCCGCGCGCGCGACAACATCCTGTCCCTCTAGACAGCTGCCGAATGCGACCCCTGCCACACAAACACACACCCAGATGCACAGAATGCTGCGCCTGCCACGACTTCGGCAACGGCATCGCCAAAGTGCTGCGCCTGCCACGATTTCGCAACGGCATCGCCAAAGTGCTGCGCCTGCCACGATTTCGCACGCCCCCCGCCGCGCGCGCGACAACATCCTGTCCCTCTAGACAACTGCCGAATGCGACCCCTGCCACACAAACACACACCCAGATGCACAGAATGCTGCGCCTGCCACGACTTCGGCAACGGCATCGCCAAAGTGCTGCGCCTGCAACGATTTCGCAACGGCATCGCCAAAGTGCTGCGCCTGCCACGATTTCGCACGCCCCCCGCCGCGCGCGCGACAACATCCTGTCCCTCTAGACAGCTGCCGTGAGTCAGCGAGTGTGAGTGAGTGAGTGAGCGAGTGAGTGAGTGAGTGAGTGAGTGAGTGAATGAGAGTGAGTGAGTGAGTGTGAGTGAGTGAGTGAGTGAGTGAGTGAGTGAGTGAGTGTGGGGTGAGTGTGAGTGAGTGTGAGTGACTGAGTGTGAGTGAGTGAGTGTGAGTGAGTGTGAGTGAGTGAGTGTGAGTGTGTGAGTGAGTGAGTGGAACTGAGTGTGAGTGAGTGAGTGTGAGTGAGTGAGTGTGAGTTGAGTGAGTGTAAGTGAGTGATGAGTGAGTGAGTGAGTGAGTGAGTGAGTGAGGAGGAGTGAGTGAGTGAGTGTGTGAGTGAGTGAGTGAGTGAGTGAGTGAGTGAGTGAGTGAGTGAGTGAGTGAGTGAGTGAGTGAGTCGAGTGAGTGAGTGAGTGAGTGAGTGAGTGAGACGAGCGGAGACGAAGAAGGAAGGAGAAGACGCGGCGCGCGGACGACGAGCGGAAAAAGTAAGAACCCCACACAAAGACGTGGGGAACAACAACAACAACAACAACAACAACAACAAACGACAACGACAACGACAACGACAACGACAACGACAACGACAACACACGACAACGACAACGACAACGACAACGACAACGACAACGACAACGACAACGACAACGACAACGACAACGACAACGACAACGACAACGACAACAACAACAATGACAACAATGACAACAATGACAACAATGACAACGACTACGACAAACCGTCTTTCTGTTTGCGATTGGCTGCTTACCTGTCTTATACTTTAAACATAATCCCGATTCAGCGCAAAACGCAAAGCGCGCGCCTGCTAGGGTCACGGACTCTCCGGACTCCGCGAAGGAGAGAGTTTCCTGGATCAGTGCAACGAAGCCGCCATGCTGAAGAGTCTTCTCCACGGAAGGCACTGATGCGGCGGCTGCAGGCCAAAGCCGCGCCAAGTCGCCGGCGATCCTTTCTAATTCAAGCGGTGGACTTCGAGTCCCGCCTTCGAACAGGACAAGTCCCGAAGTGTCTCTTGGCTCTTTCCACGCGGTCTCAACTGTTAAACAGCGCCGGTTTGCTGCCAACTCAGACTTGGTCACACGCATGGCTGGGTCAATCTGCATGACTTGCATCTCGGCTAAGTCGAACTGCAGCAACCGAGAACGCGAAGCTGGATCCCAAAGATGGAAGCACCTACGCGAAACCAAAACCGCCAGTGGACTGCAGATTTGAGTCACGGGTGACACCCTCGCGGTTGCTCGGGCCAATTCCAATGCCTGGATTCCTTCCAGGAGCTCGTGGATCGTAGCCTCGGCTTGATTTCGGAGAGACGCAGCTCGCGCGCCCAGAACAAGCAGAGGTCGAGGCTGAGGCCACTGACGTCGCAGCTTGCAAGCGGGAGCTGCTCGATCACTGCCAACAAGACTTGCAATGCAATAAATTGAATGGAGCAAGGGAAGAGCCCGCTCAAGCTGAGAATTCTGAGACCACAACAGGCAGGTCCAATCAATGACTGGAGCCCTGATCCTCCGCGAAAATGCCGCAATCCTTGGAAACTGAATGGAGGCTGCAGTGCTACGGTTCTGCTTCATCATGCCAGGCACACTGGACAGACTTCGACTACTCCGACGGAATCTGGGACAAGCCGCTGGAATGTACCCATGCAAGGATACGGACAAAAACACCGTGCTTTCAAACACGCAAACACGACTGGGGAGAGCCCAGGGCAAAGTCCAAGATCCAAAAGAACGAGATGTCCGACATTGCCTGCCAGCAATGAGACTTGCTGGAATCATGGCAGCCGCTGCGGGCTGAAGCACAAAGGCCGCAAGCTTCGAAATCTGCACAGAGGCTGCTGGGCTGCGCTCATGCTGCGTCATGCCCTGCACACGCAGTCCCAACACAAGCCCTGCCACCGCCGGAGTTGGACCGAATTGGGGACAAGCTGCTGCAATGTACCCATGCAAGGCGACGGACAAAACAAACAAAACAAACGTGCTGTCAAACACACAAACACGACCCGGGGTGAGAGCCGAGGGCAAAGTTCCAGGTCCAAAAAAACGAGACTGAGATGTCCGTCTTGGTGGAATCATTGCAGCCGCTGCGGACAGAAGCACAAACCTCGCAAGATTCGAAAACCGAACGGAGGCCGCTGCGCTGCAATTGTTGCACTGCATGATGCTCCGCACACGTGATCCCGACATGGTCATGCCAAAGCCGAGACTTGGACTGCTTGCATGAACTGAATAGAAAAACAGCAAGGGAAGAGCCTGAACAGAGGCTGCAGTGCTATGCTTCATCATGCAAGGCACGCGGGATCCCAACACAGTCACGCCACAGTCCAGACTTCGACTACTCCGACGGAAGTTGGGACAAGCTGTTGGAATGTACCCATGCAAGGCAACGGACAAAGCCACCGCGCCTTCAAACACACAAACACTACTGGGGAGCGTCCAGGGCAAAGTGCAAGATCCAAAAGAACGAGATGTCCGACATCGCCTGCCAGCAATGAGACTTGGTGGAATCATGGCAGCCGCTGCGGGCAGAAGCACAAAGCCCGCAAGCTTCGAAAACCGAACGGAGGCCGCTGTGCTGCGATTGTTGCACTGCATGATGCTCCGCACACGTGATCCCAACATAGTCATGCCAAAGCCGAGACTTGGACTGCTTGCATGACTTGAATGGAAAAACAGCAAGGGAAGAGCCTGAATTGAGGCTGCAGTGCTACAGTCCTGCTTCATCATGCCAGGCACACGGGATCCGAACACAGTCACGCCACGGTCCAGACTTCGACTACTCCGACGGAATCTGGGACAAGCTGCTGGAATGTACCCATGCAAGGATACGGACAAAACCACCGTGCTTTCAAACACGCAAGCACGACTGGGGAGCGCCCAGGGCAAAGTGCAAGATCCAACAGAACGAGATGTCCGACATCGCCTGCCAGCAATGAGACTTGGAATCATTGCGGCCGCTGCCCTGGGCACAAGCAGAAAGCCCGTAAGCCTCGGAAGCTGAGCAAACGCCGCAGCGCGGCAGTTGTTGCACTGCATCCCCGGCACACGTGATCCCAACACAGTGCCAAAGCCGAGACGACTGCTTGCACGAAATCCGGGAGTTGCAGGTACGCCATGGATTGAATGGACAATGCCAAGCAGCGAGGGAAGAGCCCGCTTAAATTGATAACCCTGCAACTGTGACAGGCAGGAACCTGCGCCGACACAGAAAGCAAAGGGAATCCTGACAACCCTGGACTCTCTGCAAAAATGCAACAAGCCTCGAAAACTGTACAAAGGCCGCGCGCTGCGGTTGTCGTGCTTCAGAATGCTGGGCAAGCGTGATCCCACTGCAGTCATACCGCGGACCAGACTTGGACTGCTGCTCCATCCGGCTACTCGAACCAACCCCAAGAAAGTCCAAGAGCTCAAAAATCGAGAGTGGCACTGAGACGGCTTGCCTGGCGACTCACAAGCAGCCAGGCTGGGAGTGACAGTTCCTGGAATCCTTGCAGCCGGTGCCCACGACAGGCAGGCGACACTGCTGAAACCAGCAAAGGTCACCTGCGCACTCGGCAGAAATACCGCAAGCTTCGAAAACCGAACGGAGGCCGCTCTGCGAATGCTCCGCACACGTGGTCCCAACATAGTGCCAAAGCCGAGGCTCGGACTGCTTGCAAGAACTGAATGGACAAGCAGCAAGGGAAGAGCCCGCTCAAGCGGAGAACTCTGAGACTGCGACAGGCAGGCTACTGATCGAATCGGAATGCAAGGAATCTCTGGTGCCCTGACCCTCTGCGAAAATGCCCAAGGCCTTGGAAACTGAACGGAGGTCACCGTGCTGCTGTTGTGCTGCATTCGGCCAGGCACACATGACCCCGACACAATCATGCCCGGACTCGGACTGCTCCAAGGCAAGCTGGAACCAGCCGCTGGCGTGTTCTCATGCAAGGCATTGAGCAAAGCAAATTGACTTTCACGCACACTAACGCAACCGAGGCTGACAGCCAACGGAGTCCAACAGCCTAAAAGTCGAGACTGAGACGGTTTGCCTGGCGACTCGCGGGCAACAGCAGCGAGGCTTCTGAGAGAAATGACACTTCCTGGCATTGGACAGCTTCGACGGAATGCGGGATCAGCCGAATATGTTGCAAACAGGCCATGGGTTGAGTGGACAAGCAGCAAATCAACAGCCCGCTCAAGCTGAGAATTCTGAGACTGCAACAGGCAGGTTGCTGCTAGAATGCAGAAACCAGAAGGAGTCCAAGAAATCTCTGGTGCCCTGACCCTCTGCGAAAATGCCACAGGCCTTGGAAACTGAACGGAGGACACTGTGCTGCGATTGTTGCACTGCATGATGCTCCGCACACGTGATCCCGACATGGTCATGCCAAAGCCGAGACTTGGACTGCTTGCATGAACTGAATAGAAAAACAGCAAGGGAAGAGCCTGAACAGAGGCTGCAGTGCTATGCTTCATCATGCAAGGCACGCGGGATCCCAACACAGTCACGCCACAGTCCAGACTTCGACTACTCCGACGGAAGTTGGGACAAGCTGTTGGAATGTACCCATGCAAGGCAACGGACAAAGCCACCGCGCCTTCAAACACACAAACACTACTGGGGAGCGCCCAGGGCAAAGTGCAAGATCCAAAAGAACGAGATGTCCGACATCGCCTGCCAGCAATGAGACTTAGTGGAATCATGGCAGCCGCTGCGGGCAGAAGCACAAAGCCCGCAAGCTTCGAAAACCGAACGGAGGCCGCTGTGCTGCGATTGTTGCACTGCATGATGCTCCGCACACGTGATCCCAACATAGTCATGCCAAAGCCGAGACTTGGACTGCTTGCCTGAATTGAATGGAAAAACGGCAAGGGAAGAGCGTGAATACAGGCTGAAGTGCTACGGTTCTGCTTCATCATGACAGGCACGCGGAATCCCAACACAGTCACGCCACGATCCAGACTTCGACTACTCCGACAGAATCGGGGACAAGCTGCTGGAATGTACCCATGCAAGGATACGAGCAAAACCACCGCACTTTCAACCAGAGAAACCTCACGCACGCCACCGAGGCTGAGAGCCAAGGGAGCCCCAGAGCGTCGAGACTGCGGCCGGCATTTTTCATGACCAATTCGGTTTCTTAGAGCAATCGACCCTGAAATCACAAACTCGGAGTCCACTGTGCCGCGCTGCATGGGCACGCACGCAGATCCCAACATAGGCATGCCGCAGCCCGGACTGCAACTGCTCCAACGGAATCTGGGACCAGCTGGGAATGCCACACGCAACACCCAGAGCAAAACAAGTAAGCTTCTTGCAGAAACACTGCCCAGGCTGAGAGCCGTGGGCAAATGATCACTCTTTTTCAGAACAATTGGAGTTGAGATCCTCGAATCATTGCAGCCGCTCCTCTCGTCAAAAACCCCAGAGCCCGCAAGCTTCGAAAATCGAACGGAGGCTGCTTCGCTGCCGTGCTGCATCAACCCGAAGCCAGGCGCACGTGATCCCAAGATTGTCAGCAAGCGCTTGGAGGACGCTGTGTCTCCTTTTGGTTGCACAACCGCCACACGCGATCCCAACACGGTCACGCCACTGGGACTTGGGTAGGTGAAACGAGCCTCGGAGTCAACCGAGAACTCCATGAAGGCAGGCTGATCAGAAATTTGAACTGCCTCCGGGTAATCTTTCGTAGCATCCGTTCTGTACGGGGCTGGCGTATCATCTGTTCTGTACTGGGCTGGCATTCTACCAGCGACAGGTTTGATGCATAGGTTCGCGGTCAGGATCTTCTGAATGATGCTGAAGTCTGCACTCTGAGAAATGGATTCATTCGCAGCAAGGACCTGAAATCCTCGAGCATCCGAGCTCAGCCCCGGCTGACACATGGCGAGCACCGCGCTTGACCCGTCCAATAAAGGCAAAAAGCCTGGAGGGTTCCTTAGTGAAACCTTGTGGCTTAAAGATGTTTCTCCACGGAATGTCTGTGAGATTGGTTGGTCTGGTCCCTTTAGCTGGGGTGATAAAACTGGTTTCTCTGATGACCTTGTTTGAGCGGCTCCTATCGACATGGTGCGCTTGTCCCGCATCTGAAAAAGTCAGCTGTCACCTGGCCCGTGGCTACGGCAATGCGTTCGACAAAGTAACAGAACAAGGAATGGATTGTGTGATGTTTATGGAAGCGGCAATGCGCGACACTCAAAAACAATCTTTGTCGGGCCAGCCTCTCGCGCAACCTCTTGCGCGTCAAGACTAAGTCCAGCATGCTGCCCTTGACTGCGCAAATTTCTGCTTGAGTACCAGTTGAACCGGCAAAGCCGGCAGCTTTGCAAGTTGTAAAGTATAAAAACTTTGGTTGCCCCTCTCCTTTTCCGGTTTTTCCCGAAGCGTCGCGAAGGGTTCTTCCGTGCGGCGCTCTTGGACGACCTTGCGCAGAGCGGATAACGTTGTACTGCACCTGTGATCGACGATGCGGACGTCCTCTAGTAGAAGGGGTTGGAGCAAAACAGTTGACAGTAACACCAACCGGTATTGAACCAGGTGTGAATGTAGGAATCGTAAGGTAGTAAAGGGACTGCCCGTTTGCCCGCTGCAGTGCAAAGCGTGTTGGACGCTATGACGGCAAGGATCTACAGCATCCCACTCACGTGATTCTATGTATGAATTCTCTTCGGTATTGAGCCAATGAGTGCCAGAAAGCAGGACAACGTCAACACGTGGTGGGGCCAAAGAATAACCAGAGGGTTGGCCTCAGAACATGACCACAGGGATTTACGACATCTCCGGCCGTACCATAATATACCGATATAAAAGTCGCACTGCTTCCGCTGCAGCAGCACGAAGAAATGCTGAAAGTCCTCGTGCAACTCTGTGAGGGCATTACCGAAAGACAGTGTCCAGCCTGCGGCACACCACGTCGTAGGCGTCCTCCCGTTGAAGTTCTTGAACGCAGGGGTCCTCCACTGCATCCGGTTGAAGACCGTTTGCGAATTCCATCTTCTTGCACACCGCTTCTTGAGATCCTTCTTCTGCTGCTTGTCGAAGATGGGCGAGTGAGCGTTTTGCCTGTGTGGGGCCCATTCTCTTTGCTGTCTCCACCTTTTTGACCTTCCATGACGCCAGATGGCGGCATCGTGGTCCCTGGCGTAACCTGCCGACAGCGAAGGGGGGGTCCGTATCAAGTGATTCGCCCGGGGGCTCGCGCATTGCAGCAGCAAAAGCCAGCTGCTCTGCAGGTCGGGCAACTCTGCGATTTCGTCGAGCAACCGTTGCGCCTCCCCAAGGCGGGCCTCCGCCGCTGCAGCGACGAACTCATGCGTGCCGATTGGGGTGAAGCCGCGCTCGGCCGGCGGCTTGTCGCTGCGCCACACGTCGGGTCCGAGCTCGGCGATGCCAGGCGGCGGCAGGCCTGGAGTCGCACTGTAGACCCGTGTTTTCCCAAATTGGCGCTAACGCCTGCTCGCTCCTCGACGTGGTGCTGTCGAGCACGATGCGGGCACGTCGAGATGTAAAGATCATCCAGAAAAGCCGCGAGAAATTCCCCCTCTTGCAGAACAGCCTGAGCCGCCAGCAGGGCGTCGTGCTGCCCCAGCGCGTAAATCGCGGGCGCCAAGGCGTCTCCTTGCTCGCAACCTTCGCCTTGGTGAACAACGTGGCATGCGCCCTCGGCGTCATACCAAAGGTAGCGCGACGGGCGGCCGTAAAAACTGCGGACAAATGGCACCGCTGAGGGGGCAACGTCGCGCAGCTTCGTAAGGAAGGCCGTCCGCGACACGGAGTCGTAAGCGCTCCGGCCGTCCAGGGAGACGACCGTGGCTCGCGTATCGAGCTCGGAAGCCGTGCGCAACAAGGAAGCCAACGAATCCGTGCCGGCTCTAGCCTGCAGCGCGTACTGAAACGGGCCGGTGGCCTCGTCGAAAAGCGACGCAAACCGTCGCGCCAGCACTCGGGAGACAAGACGCCTCAGCACGTCCCCGTGGCAATGCCACGGACTCCCCCAGCTGGCTTCTGGAGGGCCGTCAAGCGCGCAAGGGCCAGCGCGTCCAACACTTCCGACGGGACAGCCGCAGCGGCTAGCTGGGACGCCGCGTGCGTGAGTGGCTTCGTCATCGAGCAGCAGGCAGTAATGTTCCGCTGTGGCTCCGCTGAGGCCTGCCGCGGCGCCACGGCGAGTGCTTCTCAAGGCATCCCCAACTTCTTTCGTTGTCAAGCGGATGGGCGCCCTGGGCTGGAACTCCAAAACATCCTCCGGGACGGGCCTGCTCCGTCAAATCAGCGGCATTGCCAGGGGCGAGCTCCGCGGCGGTCAAAGTCTGACGGGCGCGGGAAAGCTCGCCCCGGCGCACCTGCGCGCAAGCCTTCTCCCGTCTGGCTTCCCGGCTTGCCAAGACATCCGTGACGGCCCGGGCCCGGCCCGCCGGCCGAGAAGCGTGGGCCGCTGCAAGCAACGAGCTCCACCGGCCCGCAAGGAAGTCGGAGACTCTTTGTTGCTTACCTTTCCCACTGCCCCTGTATCCGCGCAGCGCGCAAACAGCAGGCGGGGCGTTAGCAGGAACAGCTTCCACGACTGCAAGCGTCTCTGCGCTGTCCCCGCGTCCTTGATAGCCTGCAGGGCATACACCAAGGCAAGGCGCGCGCCGATTGTCAAAAACCGCGGGATGCTGCGCAAGGTCGGCACCGGCGTTGCAAACTCCTCAGCCCGCGCAGCGCTGACGATCACAGCCAGGTCAGCACAGCCGGGTTCACGGGCGGCGCCGTGGCTAAAGCCTGCGCCACGCGAAGCCACCAGGCACGCGTGCGACGGTCTGCCTGCCAGCCGTCAGCGGCCTCAGGGCGCAACAGTCCCGCGGCTTGGAGCAGCAGGGGGACGTAAAGCCACGAGTTGGCAGCCGCAGGCGCGAGGCTTGGCGGGCGGGCATCTAGCCAGTCCACGTCCCGGCAGAAACTGAGCCAGCAGCAGCCGCAGATCCACCAACCCGGCGCGCAGGCTCCTCTGCATCCACGGCGCCGGCTTCCGGGCCACCCGCCGCGCCAGCGGCGGCAACGGCTCGCGACTCAATCTCCACCTCGTTCCCCGGTGGACATGCGCACGTCCAAAAGCCTTGCCCCCTGGGCGCACCGTTGCGGACTTTCTTGGCGTGGATGGCCTTCCCGACCGTGCTCGACGGATCGCCCAGTTGCCCTTGTCGCTAGGTGGCCTTGGCTTGGTGTCTGCTGCTCAGACTTCTGTCTCTGCTTATTGGGCGTCTTGAGCGGGCTGTCCTCGGTCAGCACTTGCCGCCTGCGGCGCAAGCTTTCCTCCGTGACCTTGAGGCTCCGGTTCCGCACGTGCCGTGTCTTCGGGCTGCTGCCACAACACGCGCCGAGCTCAGCCTGGCGGACTGGACTCCCCCGAGCTGGCGTGAGCTCTGTGACGGTGTGCCGGCGCCGACCTTGCAGGAAGACGGGCCCTCCACCTTCGTTCGCGGATGGCAAGGGGCCGCGGCATCAGCTGTTGCCCGCCGCCAGTGTGAGCAGCTGCTCTCCACCTTGGACCCATCCAGCGAGGCCTTGCTCCGGTCGCAGCAGGGCCCCTTCGCCAGCCGCTTTTTGACCACCGTGCCCACGCCCCGCCCTGTCCTATCCTTCCCACTTGTTCCGCGTCCTCCTTCTCAGGCGCCTGCGCCTTCCGCTGCCACTGCCGGTGTCGTTGCCCTTTGGACTCCCTCAGCGACCACCGCGCAGCCTGTGCTCGGGCCGGTGTCCTCCGGAGCCGTGGGTGCCCTCTCGAGCGGGCCGCCGCGCGAGTGTGCCGCGAGGCCGGGGCGAGTGTGACTTGCAAGACCCGCTTGGCAGACATGAATCTCCAGGTCGATCGTGTCGACGACCGGCGGCTTGAGGTCGTTGCCAACGGCTTGCCGTCGTGGGGCGGGCAGCAGCTCGCCGTGGACACCACGTTGGTATCTCCCTTGTCCGGCTCGGGGCAGCCCTGCCGCCGGGGTGGTCGTGTTCAAGGCGCCGCCCTTGCCCTTGCACGCCGCCGCAAGGAGCGGACATACCTGGAGCTGCTCCGCTCGGAGCGCTGCCGCTTGGTTGTCTTGGCCGTCGAGGTCGGGGGCCGGTGGAGTGACGAGGCAGCCTCCTTTGTGCGCGCCCTCGCGCGAGCCAAGGCGCGAGAGGTGCCGGTTCGTCTCCGGTCCAGCCTGGTCGCTGTGCTTGTTGCCCGCTGGTCCGCACTCCTGTCCCACGCAGCCATGTCGGCCTTTGCTGCCACCTTCACCCAGCGGGCGGGGGCACTCAGCCATTCCGACGGTGCGCTCCCGCCCCTGGGTGAGCTTCTTGCAGATGCAGGTGAGGCGCCCCTCACCGCTAGCCGGCTGCCTGCCGGCTAGCTGCACTTCGCACAGCCGGTGGCCCCCGGGGTACAAATGGCTTGTGTGCCTCCCGTGCCCGGCGGCTCCCCTTAAGCAGGGTTTTCGGGGGGACAAACCAAGGCGATGGAGAAAAGGCGCGCGAAAGAAAAAAAAAAAATCGCCGGGGGTGGCCGCAGTCGGGGCAGGCAGCCCCGGGCGCAGCGGGCACGTTTGCCTCAGGGAAAAAAAACGCCATACCGCTTGTCAGCTTTGGCCGCCTTTGGCCGGGCCGAGTTTGCAGTTTTTGATTGTGCCCCGCGCGTGGCCGTCACGGCCGTGCCCCGGCACGAGGTTTGACACAGAAGCGCCGAGAAGGAGATCAAAAAGCCGCGCGCAGTTGGTTCACCATTCACTGTGCTAGTTTTCCTTTGGCAAAGCCACGGCAAGATGCACCGACGGAGGCGGAACATGTCCCCCCAAACCGAGAAGTGGCCAGCGCGGTGGCAAGTGCAAGCGGCGTGCCGCAGAGCCGGCGGTATTGGTCAGTACCGCCCGCCCCTGCCGGAGAAGACGCACCCGGCGGGCCGGC